GTAGAACTACTTCATGATTGAGCAGTTCCGCTCTTGGCCATATATCTGGAAAAAATGAAAATTCTAATTTGAGATTCATGCACCCTAACGTTCAGAAGAGCACTATTTACAATAGCCAAGACATGGAAACAACTCAAGTGCCCATCAACAGACAACGGGTTTAAGAAGATGTGGTATATATATATATATATGGTGTGTGCATTTTTATATATATAGACTATTATTCAGTCATAAAAAAAGAATGAAATATTGTCCTTTGCAGCAACATGGATGCATCTAGAGAATATCACACTAAGTAAAATAAGAGAAAAAACAAATATTAAACTATGTCACTTATACATGGAATAAAAAAAAATACAAATGAATCTATATACAAAATAGAAATAGACTCACTGACATAGAAAACAAACTTAGGTTACTGAAGGGGAAAGGGAGGGGAAGAGGGATAAATTAAGAGTATGGGATTAACAAATTGCTAGAAATGAAATAGATAAGCAAGAAGGATTTACTATATAGCATTGGGAATTATATTCAATATCTTGTAATAACTTATAATGGAAAAAAAATCTGAAAAAAATATAACTGAATCACTTTGCTGTACACCTAAAACTAAGACAAAATTGTAAATCAACTATACTTCAACAAAAAATAAAAATTAAAAATAATTAAAATGCATGTCCTGTTTCCCTGCCATCCCCTGGGCAGAGGCAGGGGCTCAAGCGCATTCAAGATCTGGCTCCATAACCCACCACCACAGCATTGCTCCTTTACAAGGGGTGGAAGACTGCCTTCTTCCATGATGACCTAGCACATGGCATTTGTGAAGCTGCCCACCTCTTAGTGCCAAGCCCATTTTTGAGTGCTTACATCCAATTGTGATGAGTCTATTTATGTCAAGTTGGTGGAGGCCCTTTGTGCTGACAAAAATCAACCTCCCTGAGATTTATGACAGAAATTCCTGCAGAAAGGTTGATTAAGATGGTTTTAGTAAAGGACTATGCAAAGAATCCCAAGGATGTCATCAAAGAGTATTCCAAATACCAAAAAAATAAAAAATAAAAAACTTGGCTTTTGTCTTTTTTAAATTTATTCATTTTTTGACCCACAAAAATGTCTGTTTTATATATTCAACCTAATGTTAACATACCCATTTTAATGATGAGGAACCCAAGGCTCACAAACACTGNGAATTCTCCAGGAAAGAATACCTGGAGTGGGTTGCCATTTCCTTCTCCATGGTATCTTCCCAACCCTGGAATTGAAAGCAGGTCTCCCACTTTATAGGCAGATTCTTTACCATCTGAGCTACCAGAAGAACCCTTCTTCAATTATGTGTGACCTTAAATGCCCACCAAACGGTAGAGATTTGACTGTATTACAGCAGGGATCCATTCCAAGTAATCGGTTTGAAAGGTAGACATTCCTGTATTTGCTTGGAAATTGCATTTTGAAATCACTGTATTAGTTTGGTTACTTGTCATTGCTTTCCCATGAGAGTAGATTATAAAGAAAAGTTGTAACTATTTGAGTTTTCTGTTGTTTGCAAACTCTACAACTAGGATGTTCCTGTTAGGTACTCACAAGGCACTTATCTGCCATTTCTTCATTTGTTCTATTACAGTGGTCTCCTATTGGGTCTTTCCATCTCCTGTTTTGATCCACTCTCTAGCAACCTTCCACTGGCAAAGTGCTCTCTTTCCAAAACACATTACTCTCTTGCCTGGTACCGTCTGATAGATCCTCACTGTCGATACACAGTGGTTCTCAGACTTGGATGTATCCCATTATCATGTTATGGAACTTCTTTTTCCAATGGATTCCTCTTGAAGTAAAATTTCCAAAGTAGGGCCTTGGCAATCTGTATTTTTAATAAGCTCTTCAGATACTGTTTACTGTCAGCTTGGTTCCAGTCGAGGGACCAGGGTTTTGGAACTCCTCTTCCTTTTCGACTCCCGGTCTTTTCCATCTCCCACTACGTTCCTACCGGCCAACCAAGTCACATGTTAATTTGAGAGAAAGATGTCAGGTGTTACTTCTCTTGCCTCAAAAAAGTGGCTTTTGTCTTTTAAAAATGCATTTCCCCAAGCCCACCATGAACCTAGTGAATCAGAGTTGGTGGTGCCTGCAGGGCTTACAGGGCTTCCCAGGTGATGCTAGTGGTAAAGAACCCACCTGTCAATGCAGGAGACACAAGAGACGCAGGTTTGATCCCTGGGTTGGGAAGAGCCCCTGGAGGAAAGCATGGCAACCCACTCCAGTAGTCTTTTTCCTGGAGAATCCCCATGGACAGAGAAGCCTGGAGGGCTACAGTCCGTGGGGTTGCAAAGAGTCGGACAGGACTGAAGTGACTGAGCATGCGCACACAGGGCTTACAAACTCCCTGGGTGTTTTTACTGCACACCAAAGTCTGAGAAAGTCCATCCGATTGAAAGCGAAAGTGTTAGCCACTCAGTCGTGCTCAACGCTTTGCGACCCCATGGACTGCAGCCCACCAGGCTTCTCTGTTCATGGGATTCTCCAGGCAAGAATACTGGAGTGGGTTGCCGTTTCCTTCTCCAGGGGATCTTCCCCACCCAGCGATCAAACCCCGTCTCCAGTACTGCAGACAAATTCTTTACCATCTGAGCCACGAGGGAAGCCACTTCCATTCAACTGAAGGGACTCTCAAGTACCTAATGGCAGTCTGGAGCCAGGCGTTTATCGTTGTTTTTAATTATTAACTCTATAGTTATTTGGGTTTCACTAGTTTCTCCACTAATATCCTCTTCCTGTTGCAGGATCCTATCCAGGATACCACATTATACTTAATCATCATGTCTCTTTCTCCTATAGTCTTTGTCAGTTTCTTAGAGTTTTCTTGGTTTATTTATTTTTATGACCTTGATAGCTTTGAAGAGCGGAGGCCAGGTATGCTCTTCAATTTGGGTTTGTGTGCTATTTTTCTCATGATTATGGGTTTTAGGGAACAATACCACAGAGATGAAGTACCATTCTTATCAAAGGTAGATATTCTCAACAAGATTTATCACTATTGATGCTAATCTTGATTACTCGGCCTGGAGGTAGTGTTGACCAGTTTTCTTCATTATAAATCCCTCCCTGAGCCCAATACACAGTCAAGGAAGAGGTGGAAATTAAGCTTCACTTCCTGGAGTGGAGACTATCTACATAAATAATTTGGAATTCCTGGAATTCTCTGCAAGGGAGATGGGTTTCTCTTTCCCCATGTATTTATTTAATCATTTATGCATACCAAAATGGACTCATGGATATTTACACTCTGGGTTACAATCCAACACTATACTATTTATTTTATTGCTTGAGCTTTCCAGCTTTGGCCATTGGAAGATTTTCCAGGCTGGCTCCTGGGTTCCTCTGACACACCCCACTTCACTCGCTGCTTTTAGACAAAACAAGATGCTCCAAGCCCTTCTTGTGTATTCCCTATCCCAGACAAGAAACAGGCACTTCTTCAGGTAGAGTTCTTTTCTAAAACATAAATTTCTGCCTCCCAACCTTGGAGAAGCAAACCCAGTTGGTCCAGGGAGGCAGTCCAAGAATATGGTTTTGTTTTTTTTTAATTAAATGAAGTAGAACATACCCAAAGCAAAAATAAATTCAAACAATGCAAAGGGGATATATTGAATATAATATCAAAAGTGAGAGTCTATGTCTGCCTGCCCAAAGGCAACCTATCGTCAGTTTCTTATAAATTCTTTCAAAAATAAGCTATACATATTTTTGCATATGCATGTTAAGTACATACATATATATCACCCATATTTTTACAGAAATGATAGTACACTACCACATTCTTGCCCCTTGCTGTTTTCACTTAACATACCTTGGAGATGGTCACAAGAACACAGATTAACATCATCCTTTTTCAAAGCAGCAGGGAGCTTCAGTGGATAGCCATGACAAAACTTATTTACCCACTGTTTACTGATAAACATTTAGGGTGTCTCTGAGTTTTGCTATTACAAGCAATGCTATATATGCTTTTTAATACATGTTTAATTCCTGTATATACTTTTTAATACATGTTTTAAGACATCACTGTGCTAAACTCAGAGCAGTGAAATCACTGAGTCAAAGGTATATGCCTGTAACATTTTGATAGATATTGACAAACTGCAATTCGAAAAGGTTATAGCAACATACACTCCCACCAACAATGTATGAGAATATCTTTTCTCCACAATTAAGTGTATTGTTAAACTTTATTTTTACCAATCTGAGAGGTGAAAAATGATACCTCAATGTTCAAATGTTTAAGTTTCATGACTTTAATTATGAATGACATCAACTGTCTTTGCATATGTATAAAAGAATTTAGAATTTTGTTTGTATATGAACTGCCTATACATGCCATACATCCTTTCTTTTTTATTGAGTTATGAGTATTTCTCTTACTGGTTCGTAAGAGCACTTTATATATTAAGAAAACAAGGACACTCTTGCTTTCTGTGTTATACATATTTTTTTGAATACTGTATNTGCCATACATCCTTTCTTTTTTATTGAGTTATGAGTATTTCTCTTACTGGTTCGTAAGAGCACTTTATATATTAAGAAAACAAGGACACTCTTGCTTTCTGTGTTATACATATTTTTTCGAATACTGTATATTTTTTAAAAAAGTCTCACAGGTGATTCTGATGACAGCCAGGTAGGGGAAGCACTGCTAGGGAATTTATTAATCAGGGTTAACATGTCCCATGTGTGTGCCACCTCCAGGCATAGGTCAGGGTAAACTGCAAACTGCTGCCTAACAGGTGTGGTCTGAGGGCAACAAGAATCCCTGTCTGAAAACATCTCCGCTACTAACAGCAGAGACTCCTAGCGTCAAACCTACACTTTGAGGCATAAGGCAGCATTACCAGGGAGGTGAGCAATACACTGACCCATTCTTGTGCAATAGCAAGCCTGCCCCTCCCCCTACCGGGTCCTGTGTCCTGGGACTGGATACAGCTCAGACCAGGATAACAGAGGGAGACTCTTCTAGCATAATACCACAGCGCACAGCCATGGCACTGTTCATCAAGCTGTATAAAAGTTCTGATTATCCTACACACAATACATCCTGCTGGGCAGACAAGGCAGAAAGCTGCTTCTCCTCTTTTCTATCTCCACTCCCAGGTCCTGAAGCCATTTAATAGCAAGGTGGAAATGAAGAATCACAGCCCAGCAGAAGAAAGGAGCCAAGAGAAGGGCTGTGTGGGGAGGGAGGCGGGGGCAGGATATCCAGAGGGAAAGGCTCTTCCTCCATAGCGAGGGAGCTGCCACCTGGGGGCCGTCAGGCCCCTCTTTAATGTGAGAACCCCAAGAAGGGCGAGCTGGTGGGAGGGGGGCAGAGGAGTGACTCCAGAATCTCCACCCTGTAGTGGCCTCTAGAATGGATCGGCATCTTCACTGACCATGAAATGAGAAGGGGGACTTCCCTGGTGGTCCAGTAGTTAAGAATCTGCCTGGCAGTGCAGGGGATGCGAGTTCGATCCTTCATCGGGAAACTAAGACCTCACATGTTATAGGGCAACTACGGCTGCGTGGCACAACTAGAGAGACTTCACACCATGAAGAAACATCCTGCATGCCACAACTGAGACCCAAGGCAGCCAAATTAATAAACAGTTTTTTTAAAAAATGAAAAGGGCTGTTTTATACATAACTTTGGACACTGTGTCTGGCTAACTATCTGCACCAGCCCACTCCCAACCAAGATGTCTGTGTAGGGTTGTGCTGAGCACTACATTCTGGGATTGAGCTCAAGCTGAGCAATGAGGGGCACCTTAGATTAAAGCACAGACCAGCGGTTCTCAAAGTGTGGTCCTAGGACCAGCTGCATCAGTATCACCTGGGGACTTAGAAATGCCATTTCTTGGGATCCCACCCCAGACCTGAAGAATTGATGCTTTTGAACTGTGGTATTGGAAAAGACTCTTGAGAGTCCCTTGGACTGCAAGGAGATCCAACCAGTCCATCCTAAAGGAGATCAGTCCTGGGTGTTCATNCTCCAGGGCGCTGGCAGCTTGTCACCCCCACCCCCATCCCCACCCCACTTAACAGACCTTTGCATCCGCTGGAAAAGGTGCAATTTTCTCCAAATTCAAAATATTTGCAGAATTCTTTTTCAGTTACATTCCCTCTATTTTTTTTTCCTCTGAAAGTTAGAAGTCAGATGAAAAACATCCAAATACCAAAATGATTAAGAAAGGTTTAGTTTAAAAAGCCATCTTAGTCCCAGCCTGAGGTCCAGAGGCAAAAAGGGGCTGTGTGGGCCCTGAACAGGAAGGCTCTGTCCCTTCAAGAATGTTGGGTGAAACCCTGAGGCCTTCCAGCAAGAGGAGACAGAGGTAGGATGCGAAGCAGGCTGGACACCATGTGGTCCCCTGGGGCGGGTGGGACGATTGACTTCACAGTCCTGCAAGGCTAACCAGGTTTCTCTGAATTCCCTGCTCCAGGCTGAGGGAAGCTGATCCCGGGGACTGGGGTGCTGGCATTTACACTGGCAGGACCTGAGCTTCCTAAGTCTCAGGTTTCCCAGAACCATCTGACTTATTGACATTACACTTCAGGATGCAAACTGAGAGCGCCTGAGAAGCTGTGCTTATTTTTTATTTTTTAGGGTTTCGGCAGCTTTTACACACACATACCCACACACGCACATATCTTTCTGCAAAGAGAATGTTTTATTTATATATTTTAACAAGTCTCCCTGGTCTCTCTGCCATGCATTTTTAAGTTAGCTGTTCTGAAGGTTGAAAGAAGTCAACTTCTGAATAACACTTGTGAAACTGCACAGCAGTTGTACATCCCCCCACCCCTGGGTTGCGAGCACACAGCTTCAGTCAAGGAGTCAAAGAGTTTTAAGGTACTTAAGAGCCTCAGCAACTTGTTTAAATTTAGGTGCTGTGGCAGCGATTAACTTCTGTTGCCTGCAAGTAAATATTCCTGAAGGATGACGGTTGACATTATTCACCAATGTCTCCCCATCTAGAAAAACACAACACATACATATATCCAAAATCAGACTCATAAGCAATATTTTTGTTTTCTGAGAAAAAAACATTTTGTAATATGGAATAATGTTCTTATACCCCAATTGCTACTTAGTTATTAACATTTTTCCCTTAAGGCTTTAAGGGTTTTTTTTTTTCTTTCTTTTTAAAATTTTTTGGCCATCCTCCAAGGCATATGGGATCTTAGTTCCTCAACCAGGGATCAAACCTGCACCCCCTGCATTGGAAGCACAGAGTCTTAACCCCTGGCCCACCAGGGAAGTCCCTTTAAGGTGTTTTTTTTTTTTTTTTTTCAAATAAAAGAGAAAAACCATTAGAGATAAAATTTGGTTCCTAGTCAAATTCTTCTTTCCAAAAGTAACTGCAATAATGAATTTAGCATGTATCCCTTCAGCTCATTGTTTAAAGTTTGTACCTCAATGTAGCCCTGAACAATATATTAATAGCATTCCTTTTATATTTTAAATGGTATCATCCTGAATGCATCAGTCTGCAACTTATTCTCTTTCCTTAAAATTATACTTTAAAATCTATCCATACTGACATATGAAAAGATAGTTCATGCCTTTGCATTTGCTATTTTGTACTTTAACATTTCAATGTACCACATTTTATTTATTCATCACTGATGGATACTCAGATTGTTCTTAATTTCTTGGTCTCATAAACAATGCAGCACTGCATCTCCTTGAACGAATCTCCCTGGGAGAGTGCCTTTCTAGGGTGGAGACTGAGGAGCAGACTGCTGCACCATAGGGCATGTGCCTCTGTGAGTTAATAAAGTACGGCCCAATGGGTCTCCAAAGTGCAGTAGAGTCATCTCATTCCTCCAGCAGCCTTTGAGATCGCAGGAATATTCTCCACCGGGGACTCAGATAGGAATGTTCCTGGTCTGACGCCTTCTGCCTCTTTCCACCTTTCTGCGTTCAGACTTCTCCAAGCATGGAGATGAGAGCCCTCCGAATAAAGGCTTTGTCGGGGGTGGAAATCTTTCTCAAACAGTTTCGATCCATGAGGATCTGTTAACTTGCTGTGACCTATACCATGAGATTATGCCCCGGCCTTTCTGTTTAGATGTTTAGCTTTTATTTTTCCTGACTTGATAAGACAAGTGAGAACTCTTCATCCACTCATACCTATGCCCTAAGCTGACCCGACCCAAGGGCCTGACACTGCCCAGAGAAGGACCGAGGATCACACTGGTTTGACCTCAAGCTACCTAAGGTCAATCCTGCTTCTGGGTCCGGCTTGTCCATTTATCACACTAGTATTTCTGGAGCACCTGGGTGAGGGAGCACAAGATAAACAGTACAATGCTCTGCAGCAGGGGTTGTCATCTGTCAGGCATGTGCTGGCGGCTCAGGTTCTTATCTCAACCAGTCCTTCCAGCAGGCCTATGAAGAAGGTACTGTTATTATCTCCTTTTTACAGGGCAGGATACGGGGGCTCTGAGTTCAGGATGATCTCATGCGCCCAGGCACAGCTAGGATTCCAGCCCACATCTCTTTGTCTCCAAAGTGGTAGGACGAGCTCTCTGTGCAGCTGGGCTGAGAAGTCACATTGGTTAAGGGGAAGAGAATAGAAGGCAGAAAGGAGGTGCCACCGGAGGGCCAGAAGGTCTAGAAGGCTGCTTCATATTTTATTGGGAAAGGATGGTGGGATGGATAGGGGGTGCACAGATATGAGGTGGGAAAGAGAAGCATGTGTTTGGGGAGTGGGGAATGACTGGGGCAGAGGAAACCAGAGGAGTGGAGCGGGACGAAAACCAGGAAGACAAGCTGCGATCTGATCGCAGTAGGGGATGAGTCACTGGAGGCTTGAGCTGCAGACTGACGGGATCAGAGTCGGAAGCAATAAAAAGAATGGAACTGTGAGAGACCGTGGGAGAGGAGCTGGGAGGGCAGCGAGACGCTGAGGACTCACATGCTCACATCCATTCCAACCAGAACCACGAGGCTGGAAAACGAGAGACAACAACTCACACACTTCCTAGTAGCTCGACTTCCAGACAAGGATCCATTTTGCGGACACACAAGGCACAGAGACAGCATGGGATTGGGGTCCCTCGCTTCCTGGTTGGAGGACTTCTGTAGTAAAAGAAATCACTTTCTAATTCTTGACAGAGTTAGGAGGATTCCAGGAGTTGGGTGTTGCTCCCAAAAGCTCTGATTCTAATGTCTTTGTCAGGCTTTTCAACACTTTGTTAGCCACCTACACCCGAATTCTGCTCAAACTAGCTTGAGTGGCTTCCATGTCTACAAATAAACCCTAAATAAGACGGCAGCAACTTGGACGGAAGCAACAGGAATGGAAGGAAGGAGTGAGTGCACACATTTCAGAGGTAGAAATGGGCAGGATGGGATAGATCTTTGGGCTTGGGATGGAGGAAGTCATCAAAGTTGATGCTGAGGTCTCATGCAATGATTCGGGGAGTGATGAGGTCATTAACAGCCCTAAACACTGGATTTGGAGAAGCTGACTCTAACCTAGAACTTTGGGGAAGACCTAAATTTAGGGAGGGGCTTCCCAGGTGGCTCAGTGGTAAAGAATTCACTTGCAGTGCAGGAAACTCGGGTTCAATCACTGGGTTGGGAAGATCCCCTGGAGAAGGGAATGGCGACCCATTCCAATATTTGTGCCTGGAGAATTCTATGGACAGAGGAGCCTGGTGGGCTACAGTCCATAGGGATGAAAACCTGACTGAGCAACTTTCACTTTCATTTAACTTTGGTGAAATGGGAAGAAGAGTTGGTTAGGATGTGATCACCTGTTGAGAAGCCTCTTTTCAGTGGAAGCTGGAGTTTCAAGAAGTCAGAATCTTTGCTAGTCTACTTACCATCATAAACTCTAGGACTGGCTCAGTGCTTGAAATATCGTAGATACTCAAGAAGTATTTGCTGGGTAGCCAGGTTAGGGATCCAAGGTGCAATAAGAATTATGGAAAGAAAACATTTTTAGAGAATGAGGATAGGAAATAGTGTAGGAGGGATAAAGGAGGTTGAGAAGTAAGAAAAAAACCCCACCAGATATGACAACTGGTGATAGATAAAACAAGACATTTAAAAGTTTTTCTGAAAATAAGGCTTCTTAAAAAAATGAAGAAAAACATACATGCAGAAAGTGCACATCATACATGTTTGGATGGTGAATTATTACAGACTGTAACCACCTTCCAGATTAAAAACCAGAATATTCCCAGCATATCCAAAGCCTCCCTCACCATAACTAACTTCATTACTTACTTCATGTTACTCACCATCATTAACCTTCACTATAAGGGAAACCACTGTCTTGACTGCTAACATCATAGATTCATTCTGCCCATTTTGAGCTTTTTATTTATTTTTATTTTTTGGCTGCGCTGCACGGTGCATAGAATCTTAGAACCCTGCCCTCTGCAATGGAACTATGATTCTTAACCACTGGACTGCCAGGAAGGTCCTCATTTTGAGCTTCATATAGAGTCATATGTGGTATATTCAGTTGTGCCTGGCTTCTTTTGCTCAAAATTATGTTTGTGAAATTCATCCATGTTGTTGCATGTGGCAGTGGTTTGTTCCTTTTCATCACCATATAGTACTCCACAGTGTGAATGTACCAAATGGTTTATCTGCTCTATTGTTGATGGACA